AGAAGGTAACACATTTGGCATTAGAAATATTGTGTTTTTGCTCATCATCACTTATCAGAGAAATGCAAATCAAAACTACAATGAGATACCACCTCATACCTGTCAGAATGGCTAAAATCAAAAACACAAGAAACAAGAGGTGTTGGGAAGGATGTGGAGAAAAAGGAACACTCATGTTCTGTTGGTGGGATTGAAACTGGTATAGCCACAGTTTGGAGGTTCCTCAAAAAGTTAATAGTAGAACTACCTTATGATCCGGCAATCACACTACTGGGTAGTTACCCCAAAATACAAAAACACTAATTCAAAGGGATACATACATCCCTATAAAGCAGCATTATTTACAATAGCCAAATTATGGAAGCAGCCCAAGTGTCCATTGACTGATGAATGGATAAAGAAGATGTGTTATATATACACACAACGGAATATTATCTAGCAATAAAAAAGACATGGATGGAGCTAGAGAGTATAATGTTAAGCAAAATAAGTTAGACAAACACAAATACCATATTATTTCACTCATGTGGAATATAAGAAACAAAAAACAAGCAAAGGAAAAAAATGAGAGCAAGAGAGAGAGAGTAAAAGCAAGAAAGAGACTCGTAACTGTAAAGAATAATCTGATGGTTACCAGAGTGGAGGGTGGGGGGATGGGTTAAATTGGTGATGGATATTAATGAGGGCACTTGTGATGAATACTGGGTGTTGTATGGAAGTGTTGAATCACTATATTGTACACCTGAAACTAATATAACATTGTATGTTAACTAACTAGAATTAAAACCTTAAAAAAGTTAATTCATAAAAAAAGAAATGTGTTTCATTAAAAAAAATTTTTTTTAATGTTTATTTATTTTTGACAGAGAGAGAGACAGAGAATGAGCAGGGGAGGGGCAGAGAGAGAGGGAGGCCCAGAATCTGAAGCAGGCTCCAGGCTCTGAGCTGTCAGCACTGAGCCCGACACAGGGTTCGAACTCACAGACCACGAGACCATGACCTGAGCCAAAGTCAGACGCTCAACTGACTGAGCCACCCAGGCGCCCCTAAATGTGTTTCATTTTTAAACGACCTCATTGATATACAATTGACATCCAAAAAGGTGTATATATTTAATGTATACAACTGGATGAGAAGAAACAAGTATACATCCAGAAATACTGGGTTTTAAATACTAGATCTGTGTGGAGAGATGATCATTAAGTAGTTGGAAATTCAAGGTTACATATTAGGAATCTAAATTAGATTCTAATTAGATCTAATTAGAGATCTAAAATTAGAGACATCTGCATGAGAAGTCCACTATTTCCCATGACACACCTTCCTCCCACACATACCTGCAAGCACACTCAATCAAGTTAAACACTGACTACCTTCTATATAACAGGTGTTATGATATTATGACGATACTGAAGCTACAAAAATAAATTAAACGTGGTCTCTGACCTGTGGGAACTTACATACTAAGATCTCCAAAAGGTGGGGTTTGGGGGGAGGGGCTGTCAAAAGCTCACAATACTATCAAGCATATATGCTATTGTTTACAATGCTTTTCTTTCTACTCCTCTAAACTTGCTTATAAAAGGGGATTTGTTTTATTCTCTAAGTAACAGCAAAAGAAAACAGCAATTTCTGACTAGTAAGCAAGCAGTGGGGAGGGTCATCCCAGATGATACCATGTTTTTCCAACCCAAGTTTTTGTTTTTGTTTTTAAGTTTATTTATTTATTTTGAGAGAAAGAGTGAGAGCAGAGAAGGGGCAGAGAGACAGGGGGAGAGAGAGATTCCGAACCAGGCTCTGCACTGACAGTGCAGAGTCCGACACAGGGCTTGAACCCACAGACCATGAAATCATGACCTGAGCCAAAATCAAGACTAAGATGCTTAACCAATGGAGTCATCCAGGTGCCTTTCCAACCCCAGTCTTAAACACAGGTAGAAAAGTACTTCCCTTTTATGAAATTAGTTTGCTATTATGGTATTTCTACAAAAATCAACAGCTCTCAATTTAGTCCTCAATGTTTCAGGTTTGTAATTTGCCAATAGCCCTATGTATACTTGAAGGAGTAGACAATTCTACAGTTCTGGCACACTCCCTGCTTACTGGATTCTGGAAACTTCCTTCTGCCATAAACTTTCTGTGAAGGAATGAGTTGATTCAGTAGTCCTGAGCTGTTCCAACTCTGAACATTCCCAAGAAAGCTATATTTGAAAGCTGGCTTCTTGGAATGTCCTGTCAGAGAAGAGTGTTTTTGCATGCTTAATTATGGCACTGGGCCATCCTGTTCCAGTTTGTCCAGATGGTTTATGCTAACAATGTGATTTATGGTGAACATCTGTTTTTTTTCTCTGGGGAGCTAGAGCTTGAATAGCCAAGGTCAAACCTGCAGGTTCTACATGCCTACATGACTGACCCTCAATAAAAACTGGACAGTCAAGCTTAAGCAGTTGGTTGGCAACACTTTGCAACTTTTACACATTGTTGCTGGGTAACTGTGTCTCACATAACTCCACTGGGAATGAACACTGGGAAGCTTATGACTAGTTTCCTCAAGACTTGCCCTGTGTGCCTCTGCTGATTTTACCCTGTATCCTTTCACTGTAATAAACCATAAGTGTAAGTATCACAGCTTCTGAGTCCTGTGAGTTCATCTAGTGAATCACTGAGGCAAAGGATAAATGGGGACCCCTGATATATCTTCCTTCAAAGTCAGGGATTTCTCTCATTTTCAGAAATTGTCTGAACTCTACTACTCTCTCTCTAATTTTTTTCATCATTTGGCAGGGTTTGAAGCACCTGGTCAAAGTCTGACCTGGTCAATAATGACCAAGAGGTCTCTAACATCAACCTTCAAAGCAGAGGGCTATGTCTGACCTCTTTATTTCATCAGTCCATGCCATCCAGTCCCAGCAATGGACAAGGTCATGCCTGGTCTTGGCTACTGCTTAAATTGCTGAGAAAGTGGCAACGGCCCCTCACCATTTTATTTTATTAAAAAAAAATTTTTTAATGTTTATTTTTGAGAGAGACAGAGAAAGCAGGAGAGGGAAAGGTCCAGAAAGAGGGAGACAGAGGATCTGAAGTAGGCTCTGTACAGTGAGCACAGAGTTCGATGCAGAGCTCAAACTCACAAACCATGAGATCATGACCTGAGCTGAAATCAAAAGTTGGTTGGTCACTTAACCAACTGAGCCACCCAGGTGCCCTGACACCTCACCATTTTATATATCACCAAGCTGCAACCAGGGTGGGGCATTATGGTTCCCAGCAATTTTCTGCTGTTAATCCTTGAATCATCTCCTTCTCAGGGACTGTACCCAACTCTGCACAGATGTGATCCCCATGAAGCTGCAGGAGAGAAGCCCTTGTCCTTACCCTATAGCAAGTCTTGTATGTAGGAATGTGGCTCCACCTGGGAGGCATGGCACAGATTATTTAGTAGCAACATTAGAAAATGTTTTCAATATAAGAAATAGAGTGAATTCTCCATAAAATCCACTCTCACTCACTTGTACTCTGATAAGCTTCCTTGAGTAAGAAAGAAAGAGTTGGAGGTATACTGTATGTCAAAAATTACACATAACCCACAGCCTTCATTATATGTATCAAGCATGAAATAGCTGTTCAAATTGTTGATTTTGTTAGCTATGTGATTTTATGCTCTCTAGCTCCTGTCCCCACAACTCAAATCTGTGACCTATTACTTTATTTTCTAAGAAAAGTCTTTGAGATTTCATTACCCTAGAGAAGTGAGTCACACATGTGAAATGCTATGTAAATGATAAATACTAGTCTTCAAATGGCTCAGTCACAGCACTGTGTAATGTGAAGTTAAATGTATTCTCTATTTTACCATTTCTTCAAGTGAAATTGTGTATCTCAAATCTGTACAGAATGTATACTTGTAGTGTACTGACATGAGTGGTAATGAGGCCAAATCCTCACCTTACACAGGAGTCAACAGGGCAGTGAAAAATTTCTAACACGTATTAACAGAAGGATTTTATGTTCTTGAGAAAATCTTAACATTTATTTATAAGTCTCCCAAATAGCTTCTCATCTATAAACCATTCAGAGTAATTACATATTTTGTTGAAGAGCAGCAAAAGAATCAGAGAAATCGTATGATAGAATCTAATGGACCTGGCTGGTTTTCTCATTCTGTCATTAAAACAAGCATTTATGTTTGTGTGTGTGTGTGTGTGTGTGTGTGTGTGTGTGTGTGTGTGTTATATGCATATGCATGTTTTGTTTTTTTTTTAAATAAAAGGAGCATTTTTGATTTCATAAGCATATATTCCGGAAGTGCTGATGCTATTCTTGTTAAATAAATGTTAACTGCTTGGAATCCCAGGCACACACTCAGGTTCATTCCCTCTCTCCTCAGGCAGTTTCCATAATCTACAACATTTTCATTTTAACAGTCCTCATTACTGGTATCATTTAATACTTGAGGGTTTGCTCAAATCAACATCAATCTTGCTGATCCTGCAAACACTTATTTTGTTGACACAACACAGTCTGAATCCATAGCTACTAAATGTAAAAAAAAATTTTAATTATTCCTTCACCAAACATGTCACCAAGTACTAAGAACAACTCTGTCAGTTACTCAGTGCTGTCATAGAGACACAGCAATGGAGAGACATTAAGCACAGGGCCTTTCATGGGACCCCACTTCCTTCAATAATAATGCCATCGCATCTGTCCCCTTGCCTACCCATACATACTGCATCCTCCCAAAGACATTTATCACCTTAAACTCAACCACTGTGAAGATGAAAGTGTTTGCCTGGAAGACATCTTGTTGGACACATTTGACTCGTATTTCTTCATTAACAAATAATCCTTTGCCACAAGTAAATCTTAAATAACCAGAAAAGGGAAAAGCCTTGCCTTAAAAAAAAGCAATAAAAACCCATTCAGAATAAAATTTCTTTTAAAATTAACTTTTAAATGTCTTTAGATGAGTCTAAATTAAGGAAAAAAAATATCTTTACTTGATTGGAAAACCTCATGCTCACGTTGCGTTGATTCTGTAGTGGGATATAGCGCTGGACAGGATCAATGTCTTTAGGACTGATTAATTCATCAGCTGAAAAAAAGAGAAGAGAAATGACATTATCAAAAATGCATCTACACACTTTATAAGCCAAATAGACCTAATGACCTAATGGACACTTCATCCAACAAGACCAGAATATATATACTCCTCGATGCACATAGAACATCTTCCATATATGAGGCCATATAGAACAATCCTCAATAAATTTAAAGAATTAAAATTCTATAAAGTATGATTCTGACCACAAAAGAATGAAATTAGAATTCAATAAACAGGAGAAGTTTTAGAAATTCACAAATATGTGGAAACTAAATAACACACCATAACTAATGTGTCAAAGAAGAAAACAAATGGGAAATAAGAAGATACTTTCTAATACATGTTCTGATAAGATGATTGAAAATGAAGACAAAATATACCAAAATTTATGGATGTAACTAAAGCAATGCTAGGAAGAAAATCTGGAGCTGTAAATGCCCATATTAAACAAGGGAGAAAAATTTCAAATCCACAACCTATCTTTCCATCTTCAGACAGTGGATAAAACTGAGAAAACTAAATCAAAAGCAAGCAGAAGGAAGGAAATAATAAAGATTAGAGTGGAAATTAATGAAATAGAATGTGGAAAAACAAAAGAGAATAATAAATAAAACTAAAAGTAGATTCCTGAAAAACTCAAAAGCTGACAAACCTTTAGCTAGACTGACAAAGAAAAAAAGAAAAAAGACTCAAATTACTAAATCAGGAATGGAAATTAAGAATATCCTTAAGGATTACAAGAGAATACTATGAACAAATGTATGCCAATAATTTAGATAACCCAGATGGATATGAACAAATTCCTAGAAATATACACATTACAAAAAGACTAACTCAAAAAAGAATAGGAAATATGAACAGATTTACAACAAGCAACTGAAACCTTCTGGGGCGGGGGGGGGAAAGGGGGTGAGGTGGTGAGAAGCAAAAGACCAGGACCTGATGGCTTCATTGGTGAATTCTACCAAACAGTTAAAGAAGAAGTAAAACCAATCTTTCACAAACGTTTCCAAAATAGTAGGGGAAATACTTCCCAACTCATTCTAAGAGGCCAGTATTACCCTAATAAAAAAATTATATTCACCACAAGAAAATTACAAATCCAAATCTCTTCTGAATATAGATAGAAAAATCCTCAACAACAACAACAAAAAAAAATAGAAGCAAACTAAATCCATTAACATATAAAAAAGATTACACACGATGACCAAGTGGGATTTATCCCACAAGTGCAAGGATAACTTAACTTCCCCAAATCAATTATTGTAGTAATACAATATCAACAGAATAAAGGACAAAAAAAAAAAAAAAAACCCTACAAAATCATCTCAGTAGACACAGAAAATACATTTGACAAAATTCAACATTCTTTCATGATAAAAAGCATTCAACAAACTAGGATAGAATGAAACTTCCTTGACCTGATAAAGGGAATCTATGAAAACCCACAGCTAACATCATATTCAAAGGTAAGACTGAATGCTTTGCCCCAAAGATCAGGAATAAGAGAATGATGTCAACTCCTGTCACTTTTATTCAACAGTGTATTGGAGGTTACAGCCAGAAAAGTCAAGAAAGGCAAGAAAAAAATAATAAAAGTCATCCAGATTGAAAAGAAGAATCTAAAGTAACTAAGATAATGTGCTACTAGGGGCACCTGGGTGGCTCAGTTGGCTCAGTGACCTGACTCTTGATTTCAGCTCAGGTCATGATCTTGTGGCTGGTGAGACTGTGTTGGGCTCTGCATTGAGAGCACAGTGCCTACTTGGGATTCTCTCTCTTTCAATATAAATAAATAAACATTTAAATTATTATTATTTTGATTTGAGAGAGAGAGAGCATGAGTGGGGGAGAGGGGCAAAGGGAGGGAGCAAGGGACCGAGGGAGCGAGGGGGAGAGAGAGAGAGAGAGAGAGAGAGAGAATGAATCTTAAGCAGGTTCCACACTCAGTACATAGCCCAACGTGGGGTTCAATCTCACAACCCTGGGTTCATGACCTGAGCTGAAATCAGGAGTCATACGTTTAACTGACTGAGTCATCTAGATGCCCCATAAACAAGTAAACATTTTTTTTAAATTTTACAAAAAGGATAATGTGGTACTAGTATAAAGATAGATTAATGGAATAGAAGTGAAAGTGTAGAAATAAATCCTTACATTTATGTTCCACTGAGTTTTGACAGCATGCCAAAACAATTCAATGGGGGAAAAGAATAGGTTTTTTTCACAAATAGTGCTGGGACAACTCAATATTTATAGACAAAAGAATAAAGTTGGACTCCTTCATCAAATCATCTATAAAACTCAAAATAGATCAAAAGTTAAATATAAGACCTAAAATTATAAAACTGTTAGAAGAAAATAAAAGAGTAAACTTTTGTGACTTTGGATTAGGCAAAACTAAAAATCAAAACATAAGTGACAAAAGAAAAAATGAGATAAACTGAATTTTGTCAAATTATAACCTTTTGGACCTCAAAAGACACCATCAAAAAAAGTGAAATGACAACTCACAGAATGGGAGAAAATATTTACAAACTGCGTATCTTGTAAGGGATTTCTGTCTTGAATATATATATTAAAAAAACTCTTATGATTCAATAATAAAAAGACAACACAATTTAAAAATGGCCACAGTATCTGAATAGACATTTCTCCAAAGGTATATAAATTACCAGTAAGCACATAAAAAGATGCTCAACATTAGTCATTTGGGAAATGCTTATCAAAATCACAATGAGATACCACTTCATACCCATTAGGATGGCTATTGTCAAAAAAAGAAACAAGAACAAGGGTTGGAAAGGATGTAGGGAAATTGGAACCCTCACACATTGCTGGATGGAATGCATATTGGTACAGTTACTTTGGAAATCAGTCTGGAATTGCTCAAAATGTTAAACACAGAGTTACCATATGACTCAGCAATTCTACCCCTAGGTATATACCTAAGAGAAAGAAAAACATGTCAAACAATAACTTGTACATGAAAGTTCACAGCAGCATGATTATAAAAGCAAAAAAAAAAAAAAAGTGGAAATAATCCAAATGTCCACCACCAGATGAACAGATAAATCAAATGTGGTATATACATACAGTGGAAGATTATTTGGCCAGAAAAAAGAATTAAGCTGTTGATACATGAATGAACCTTGAAAACAACACATTATACGATTCAAGGTGTATGAAATGTCCAGAATAGGCAAATACACAAGGATAAAATGTACATTAGTGAGTGTCCGGTGTTGGGGGAAAGGGTGAAATGATTAGGGTTAAGTGGAGAGTGGGTAAGACATTTTTTGAGGGGTGATGTAATATTCCAAAATTGATTGTGGTGATAGTTGTACAACTCTGAATGTATCAAAAAACCACTGAATTGTAAACCTTGAATAGGTTAAGATATAGTATGTAAGTTATACCTAAATAAAGCTGTTCTAAAAAGAATGTATTCGCATTCTCTCAAGAAAGGAAACCAGTTCACGAAGGGGAGACAAAGTGCTTCCTGATACTAAATTCTAACATTTCTGAGGGCATTTTTCAAAGGGCACTAACCAGCATGAAAACAATGTCTACTACTGCTATTGTTCTATAAACACGGAAGCCCTTTTCATGCGGTAGTTCCTTGTAGCAACTTTTGATAAAGTCCAAGGACATAATAAGGAAGGCAATTTAGAGAGTTTGGAAGGGGAGGGTGTGGAGAAGGTACTCTGAGTCAGTGGTTCTCTATCTTCTGTTGTAATGCACCTCAGAGAGATTCAGCACCAGAGGCTCAGTGTAGCAGGGATTCTCCACGGATGTGAAAAGGACTATGCTGAGAAGGGGTGGTGGGAACAAAACCTTGAAAATGAAATTCTGCCTAACCTCATTGTAGTATAAGTTGACAGTATCTATGCAAATTTATAGCAGGCATACTCTGTCCCAGCAATTGCAAATCTGTAAGGTTATCTTAGTTACATTCAGACATGTAAAAGTTAATTGAATAATAACATAAAAAAAAGAATTTAACTTCTCCAAAGTGAATCAGAACATTTTATTTTTGCTGCACTCAAGTTATGAAAATGTGCTACTTCATATTCGATCTTCAGTTCTATACTGACTACATAAAAATGACACCATGTTGAGTTTTGTTTAAATTCACCCATGTTTAATATTTAATTCAAAAAATACACCTCATTTTCCATAGCTTTTTAGATACTTCTTTTAGTCAGTGAGTAATTCTGAAAAACAGAGCAGAGAGTCAACCACAAAAATGCTTGTAAATTTCTTTGCCGCTGTGGTAATGTTTCTCATTATACAGGTTTTTCTATTCTAGGGTAACTTTAGGGCACATATTCAATGTTATCACCAAAGGTGTTTTTAGTAACTCCTGAAAGATGCTTTTAATAATATTAAAAGTGATATTACTAATAGCATGACAAGAAAAAGGAGGAACAGCAATTGCAGCAGCCACAGAAGCCACCACAGCCACTGCCGCCTCTGCCACTGCCGCCTCTGCAACAGCAACCACAGCAACGTTTACACAGTGCTTCCTATGTTCCTGGCCTTGTTGGATTAATTAATTAATCAATTAATCATTAACCATCACAACATCCTTATCATTTTACAGATGACAAAATGGAGGTGTTGAGCAGCTAAGCAACTTACACATGGCAGGTAAGTGACAGAGCTTAGATTCAAACACAGGCTGTCTCTCTCTGGGGTCTACGTTCTTAGCCCATACTAATCCTGCCCTGTAAGAACACTGACACTGTATACAACACAGATGGAGAAGATACCAGGAGGAGAAAACATTAAACAAATAATTTAGATCTTGATATGTTATATTTTTCCTATTCAAATCAGGGAGCATATCACAGAACATTCCTCTCTCTCTGAAAAAAAAATATACTTGTGCAAAATTTAAAACAAACCAATATAGGCTTAATTATGGCAAATATCGACATATAATTTCTATTTATTAATGTCAGTGGAGCTCATGATGCAGGGTTGAT